AAATTCGGCCATCGAAGTTTTGCTAGGACTTATCGTTAGTTCTATTTGTTTAGCCCAGAAGTTTGCCTGTATTTCCACATCTTTCTAGGACTTTCTGGCATTTAACATATCACGAATTAATTGCTTAAATTTTGATATAGATTTCATCAATGCATCTGGTTTTATTGTGCTGCCAAGGCAAGAAAGCTCTAAATTACTTCTTGCCGTTGTGTTATTTAAGCTACCATGTATGTACAGTAGTACTATACACTCGTTTTTGCCCAGTAGAGACCGAATGGATAAAATCACCAAAAACTGATAGTTGGTCGCGGGTCACACCTTGCCAGCGGTATTCTTCACGTATCTAATAATGGTACCCCAAGTCGATAATATTTTTGCGGCATCCCTACTTCTTTATAAACAGGGTATTTATAATTAATGTTTACTACATTAGACTACTCTGGAGACAGGGTAAAATCGCGAGAAGCATCGAAAGAAAAAAATCGCGAAAAATGTAAGGTAGAATTGGAGGATATGCGATAAATTTTTTGAGGTCGAAGGGATCCGCGATCGAAAAAGTTTTGGAAACACTGATTTAGAGGATTACTTCCCCCAAATGAGATAATTCGAATGTGTTCGAAATGTTTCTGCTGTAATCAGGTTATATTCCGTAAGACAAGAAATGGTAAAAAAATACCCGGTACTAGTGCAAGAAGTTTCTACCATATATACTATCGTATTATTACGGTTGCCTGATTTGGCGATTTTTTGTTTTTTCCAATAACGTGTAAGTTAAAATTCGAATTCGCGGCCGAACGCTATAAACTCAAATTTCGTATTTATTTACATAATATCTATTCAATTAAAAATAAATGTGACTTCTTACCTATACCACTGAATGGTCACTATAATTTGTCTATCTCCCTTCATTACTTGTATCGAATATTTTTTAGTGTAGAAACTCAATTTAAGCAGAAGAAATACCTAAAGTATCTTTAACCGTCATCGCTCTTTATACTCCTCGTTCTTTACGTAATAATAATAGTATATTTTTTAACACAATTTCCAAGTTGTTACTGTATACATAGATAGGTACTTTCTCCAATCAATCTGTAAAGAAACTTAGAAACTTAATGCGGAAACAATAGAATTTGTGGAATCCATCGGCAATTCCCATACTTATACTATATTTACATCATATAATTCTCTAAAACTTTTTTGCAGAATGTGAAATATATTATAAAAATTGTTTTAGTTCCATTTTAATCATTTCCATATGTTTGCATCGAATCCCAGGATTTTCTGGAGATATACATTCCAATTCTAATAAGTATCAACATGTCCCAGGCGAGTATGTTTTTATGCGTTTGCAATGATTTTAAAAAATATATTTTTTTCCATCTCACCATATGTTAATTTTAATCCTTTACTTTTTAGTAAGAACATCGCTAAGACAGTTTTCTTCTACTTTTTCTTATATTCGCCAAGCTGTTTTAAAAGCTTTATACTCGTATAATACTCCCGATTTTATTCCATCAAAACCTTGTTTACCTGGCGTACCTCTTTTATTGTCTTAATTCCCAAAGGAAATTCTTCATCTTACAGACCCAGACCTTTGTCTATAACTCTAGCTGAGAATTTTAGAAATCTGTATCTATTACTACATTTACTGTCCAGTTGGGACCATACTAAATTCCATCCAACACTGTGGCATCCGATTTCGATCCAACTTCACAAAATTAGTCCCTATTCATGTATTTCAAGAGTAAAGACTAAATACCTGTCGTACTACATAAAATACTTAAGAGAGGTCAACTCCGATTTAGAAACTTTACAAGTTGATCTCAGTATTTTATTCGCCTCCCTCGACACATAAATCTGAAAATTACTTTATCCAAAAAAGTATTTATTCACTATTAAGAAGTCTAAATTATTATACATTTTACATTAATAGGCTGTAAATTAATTATGTTCATTCAAACAGTGACCTTGGTGTGATCGTCGATGAAAAATTAACTTTTAAACATCATATTGATAAACTAGCAAAAAAAATTCGCAGTCAGAAGTGGATAACACTACGAAACACTAGCCACATAGCTTTTTTTTGTTTTTTTTTTCACTGTACAACACTTAAAAAGGAACCACTTTTTCCATAGAAAACCCTCTGAAAAACACTCCCTTTGGCAAATTGCCAAATATTGTGTTGCCATATCCTATTAATCTAGATTCGTGTTCGATGGGGAATTTCGTACAGTTTTCTTTTCAAAGTTTATTTCGAATTCGCAAAGCTTTGCACGAAAAGTATTTCTCAACTTTAATTAATTAACGAATTTTTTTTCTTTTCTGGGGAATATAACAGAAAATTCAACGGAATTTCCCAAGTGAAACATTACTTATCTGTTGCGAAATGATAATAGTTACGAAAAAATCGACAATAATCATTTTCTTTATATAAATTTTTTAAGCTTTCGTCATATTATTTTAAAATCTGTATAGAGGACAGGTGGCTGAGGCGATTAAGGCGACAACTTAAGATCCGGCATAGAATCGCTGGTCACCCGCATTTGTAGGCGTACAAGAAAGACTCTCTTACAGGGCGAGAAGGGCCCAAATAGGAGAAAACAGCGAGTATAAATCCTACTTAATACACTTATGTATTTAATTTAATAATAAAAATAATTAATTTATTATAAAACAAATAAAAAATGTAAATAAATAATTTTAACATAATTTCTTTCTAGAAATTTGCTTAAAGATTTGTTACAGAACTAAGTAAAAAAAATTCATTAGGCAAATATCAAATGAAAATAATCCAAATAAAAACTTTTAAGGTATAAATCTATTTTTTACGATTCAAAAGCACTTAAATTTCCTATATTCAGAATGTAGACCTATTTACAGTATTACAACGTCTTGTTTCCGAGAAATTTACTCAATTACACGTACCGAACTTGATATTAAATTATTATTATTATTATTATTGCTATTAAACATATCTTGTATTTCATATCTTATAATCATATACGTAGTATATTTAAGTATGTTTGTTTACATCGGCGTGTATGTACATAATTAATTAGTATGTCATATCAATGTAAACTCGTACACTCTACACAAATTAACGAAAGTCTGTAAAACTTATCAGTTCAGGAAGCCCTTTAACTCTACCCCACTAACGAGTTCGAGTTCTTGATCAAGATAATTGTATAGTTTTTATAATTAATTAAAAATAGGATTACCGGCATATCGAATATAAATTTAAAAAGAGAAATTATAACAAAAATCTGTTAGTTATTAAAAAATATCACTGTTATATTTATCATAATTATTAACAATTCAGTTTTTTTTATGTTTAAAAGCTTAAAATTTATAAAAGATTTAGTTATTTATAAAATAAAATATCAAACCTTAAACAACGGAAATCCAAGAAAAGTACATAATACTTAATTAATGGCTGCTGGCCACTTGCCAGTATTAACTTCGTACTCTGTTCTGCAATTAATATTTATGTTTATAATTCAGCTGTTTTCCCCGCTGAATAAATATTTGAGATTAATTTTTCAATAAAATACATATGCGGTGACTTTCCAAAAAAGTAATTGTTCGGTTACGTTTTTGCAAAGCCTGATTTATATTTGTGGCCCTAAACTATGGCATGAAACAGGCCCTCTCCTTCACCAATATACCCACGCTCCATTATCAAAAGCACTTTAATATATGTACTGCAGTTTGAATGTATACTGTAAGTTGCTTTTGATAATGGAAGTAGGACCTTCGTAGAACGAGACCCTAAGATATAGGCTAGCTTTCCTTTTACCGTAGGCCTATATAAATCCGGGAGTAGTGGCATCTACATTTTATCGTTTATAACATCGGCACGTAACTTTTAGTAGTGATTCAAAAATCACTACTAAAAGATCGCCCTGTATAACTAATTGGCTAATTAGTTAATTAGTAATATAGTAACAAGTAGCCTATAAACTCTGTTCGGGACGCTGTATGCGAACACATTTTTGTGTTCTTGTTCTGCTATTTTACTGTATTTACATATAACCAAAATTAGGCTATATCTCTATATAAAATATACAATTTTAAATTTCGATGTACTGTACTTATAAAGTAGACGTTTAAGTAAACGTAGAGAGTGACGTAAATTACTCTCACGCAAAGAAACTTACCTTCGTTGTCCCTTATATGCAGATATTATATTACAAAGGTAGAGGTGTTGAATGATGGGTGACAAGATAATACTTCCTGGAAATTCTTCAACTTGTTTATCCTGTTGTGCTACTTTTATTGGAAGATTACGTCCCCTAATACTTGTACTCAATGATCATAAATACCATAAATGTTAACGATTTAATATTGTTTTATAAACGTTTTATTTGGTTATTTGTGCATAATTCCCATCAACCGGGTAATCAGAAAGTCAATTAGCACCTTCACAGGATGAGTATAGTAGAACCCCTCAAGTCGAACATCCTAGACACCCCTCTAAATTGAACTCTCAATTGGAACCGGCGAACATCTGTGGTATATTATCCCCCCTCTATCCGAAACCCCTCTCTGTTTTCTGGAATCACTACACCATTTTTTAAAATAACAAGTGCTTCTTTACATAGTGTTGAGCCTAACTTATACATTTAGGAATTCACGAAATGTAGATAACAAGTAACATATTTTAAATAAACTTCGTCTTTAACTTCTCTCTCACATAACATCAAATACATCCTTAACTAAGATTGGTAGTCGAAAAAATTGCACACTCTTCATGCGTAACAGCAACAACCTTTCCAGCAAAATGCTGTCACAATTCAACGATTCGACTTTTATTTCTACATCTTTGGCCAAAGAACTTAATTGAAATAGTAACGTGGGGTGTATACAACACATCCGGAGTTAATTATTTGCATGGAGAATAATACGTTTATAGCATTTTATAGACTCGACATTAGTATAAGACATAACTTATAGGATTTATGTATAAAATAATAATAATAATAATAATTGACTATACTCACAAAAGCTACCAGAGCTAGTAGTGTCTGTCTCTCCATCATCAACCAAGTTCAACTAACTGCAAATCTAAATTAGAACAGTGATAGGTCGTATAGTTTTGTCATAAAATAAATAACCGTACTAGGTTAAAGATGTTCCGTAACGCTTCATAGATTTTTCTATACGCGATACGGTTATTTAGTCTTTTATTCACAATTTTTCCAGTTTTTCTAGACGTTAAAACCGCTACTTTATTCCTCAAAATACTCTAATCGAACCGAATTCGTCAATTAATATCTTAGCCTTTTCGTGTATCATTTAAACTTTTTCCAATTAACGCCTAACTACATTTACAAGTTAAATATAAATTAATCTGACCTTACTGTTATTTTCGTTGAAATCTTATTAATAAATTAATTAATAGAAACTGCGTTTGCTTGTAAGTTTCCGCCCCTGCTCGACGGTATAATCCCGTTATAATGTTCTCACAAGTAACGTCTTCTTTAATGTTGCGCTTCTCGCTTCTCTAATTTTACCTTTTTTTTATGTGGTCTTGTGCATTACGTCGTGATACTTATAATTTGGTAAATAATCTCAGAATTTCCCGCATACAAGGCTTCGTATTGGTTGTATTCGGTGTAAAATAGGGAGAAGTGCAAGTTTAAAAAGGATGATGAAATTATTCAATTCAATAAACTTTTTATTCTGTTAAAGCAGTGTTTCTCAACCTCTAACGAATCGTCGCCACTTCAACGTAGGATCGCTCCCTTCAATAAAACCGTTACGTAGTATCGCCCCTTTCACTTCAAAATTCCGATGCCGAGGGCCAAGGCTAACGCCAAATTCGTACTGCATTGAATAGACTAGTGACTAGTACAGCCATGGCCAACATACGACCCGTCTAATAAATTTATGTGGCCCACGATTAATCTTTCAACATTAGCTACTCAAGTCCGAAAGGCTCGATGAAAAATTCTGACGCCTAAAAAAAATAAATAAATAAAAAATAAAAGGTCAGCAACTCACTGTGCGTTTAGAGTCAACCCTCCATTACAAATCTCGTAAGTACAGAGTAGAATGTTGATCAACTTTATTAAAAGAAAGAATGTTGATAATACATGATAATGTGAAAAATGTATCTGTAATCTCTATGTACTGTACAATTTAGTCTCTACGGGGTGACACCACAATGAGATTTCGCACTACCTCGAAATCTTCCTAGGGCGGCCTCTGGTTCGGCCCATGAAAAAGTTTTCTTTCCAATTTGGCCCGGGGGCAAAAACTGTTGGCCACCCCTGGACTAGTATAATGTTATTCGTTTAATTATTGTACGATATAATGAATAAAATATCTAATTATTCTTAATATAATGTTTTACTATATTGACCAGAAAATTGTTTTCGCCCCCAAAATATAAATTGTTACTAATCGCNAAATTCGTACTGCATTGAATAGACTAGTGACTAGTACAGTATAATGTTATTTGTTTAATTATTGTACGATATAATGAATAAAATATCTAATTATTCTTAATATAATGTTTTACTATATTGACCAGAAAATTGTTTTCGCCCCCAAAATATAAATTGTTACTAATCGCCCCCTCAACATGGAAAAACGCCCACACGGGGGGCAATATCGCCCCCGTTTAGAAACACCGTGTTAACCCATAAGTACCTATTTTCTTAGACTGAACGCAAATCGATGCAAAACGTCTTTATACAAAACTTTTCTGACTAAACATGTTTAAAACTTGCTTAAAACTGTTTTTTTTTTTTTCAATGATTTACATAAACTCAACGCACACTGATCAAACGAAACGCAAAAACGTGATAAATCAGAATTAAATGCTTTTAGATAAAACGTTTCATTAAGATATTTTTACCCGAAAGAAATAGTTTGTCGTCAGACACGTTTATACACGTTTATACAAGTTTAAGCATGTTTAAATCTGTCGGACTTTTGTGCGCATGCGTTTATAGCTGACTACACGCTTTCCATGTATATAGGGAGTGCACGTGACGTCACACGACTCCGCTTACTAAGCGCGTGCCATATTGGTTGCTGTTGGTTTGGTTGTCGACTTCGACGTGATTTATGTTTGTAAACTTTACTATTTGTTTTAATATTTGTTTTCTTTGTTATTTTAGTTTTAAGTTTACCTTATTATTATTTTATGATATTCTGTCAATCTTAAGTATACTATATATTCACTTATTGTAAAATTTTTCCTGGTAATGCTTTACAGCAGAGCCAGGAAATGTACATAATACTGTACCTAATAAATTAAAATGAATGAATGAATGTCGACCTCGATATTGTCATCTAACTCATATTTTTTCAAATTTAATTTTAATTTATTATGATTCATTACACTACCAATTGAACTGCAGTTAGAACTAAAGATTCTGTAACAAACAATTGAAAAAATTGTCACAATTTGTTGTGCTTTAATATATTTATATAAACAGTGTCGTTCCATTTGATTAATATAATTTTTAATAAAAATAAAACAATTTGTTATTCGGGGGTGGAAATCTTTTGTCAACTGAAGTTCCAATAATATGTAAAATAAATAAATAAATTTTGATATATTAGTCAAATGAATTACAATATTTATTCAATACTGTAATACTTTTTGGTTTCATTTTTTTGCTTAAAACTGGCAATTTTTACATCAAACTAAACAATTTGCTGTACAGTAAAGTATTTTATTCTATAAAATTTATACATTTTCTGAATCTTTTCGTGGGAGTAGAGCTGGCTGGAAAGAAAATTTTTTTACAATTAGCTCTGGTAAAATACAGTGGAAACTGGTGGAATCTCTATATCTGCTCTATACACAATTTTCATAACAGTTATTCTAATCTGATCTAAAGAAGACCACAGCTTGCTTCTACTCTGTGCTAGTGTGTTTTCTTTAATAAAATCAATTTCTTCATCTGTCAGATGAAAAGTTTCAAATACTGTTCTGCAGTGATTTAACAGCTGATCCCAGGGTAAGGCAGCTTTTTTGGCATCAAATAGAGTTGTAAGTGGGTTCTTATGGTAAGATGAATTGACGTGGTTTGTAAAAGAATTAGAGTAACCTGGCATCATCACTGACAAAATTGCAGCAGTTGGATTATGAACAGAAATTTTTTTCAAAAACTGTTCAAATTCTCTCTTACTAGGTTTGTTTATACAAGTATTCCAAGTTTTATCACTTGACAAATACGGTTTTTGTATATATTTTTCTTCAAGGCATTGCCATTTGCTTGCAGTTGCAGCTGATGTAAAGTTTATTTTTTGTAGTGGTTTATAACCACAATCTTTTACATGTGGCACTATCCAATTATTTGGTCGGTCAGTACATGTCTGGGAGATCTTTATTTTAATTCCTTCTATATTGGCAAAAAGAATAATACCAACATGAGAGCAGGAAGAAGATTGTCCAGCCACGCAATTGCAATGCCCAGTTATCACCTCTTTATTTTTCTTAGCTAAAACCCACACTACTGAAGCTGGCTGCCATAGATTTTGTGAGTGATTAATTAACCTGTGTACAAAAACCATGTAAGAAACTGTGCTATTTACTTCTAATAATATATTTAAACAATAATAGGTT